ATTCAGGATCACAAGCATCACTGTGTAGTCCTCGAAATCAACCCTGAACATTTCAGATGTTGTCCAATCCAACGAGCCCTGAAATCTCCGACACTCGTGCTGCCAAAATCTGGCTTTGGGTTAAAGGTCCTTTTCATAATACCCACTCAGGTAACACACGCTGTCTTACTCCACTGTGCCAGAGAGTGCAATGATCACAGTCCCACATCGTTGTGCTAATTCCACACGGACCTTCATTACTTTGAACACATCAAATATTATTTCAGTATGTATTATCTGCTCCCATCTCCATCTGAAGGATCACACTGCCTCCAATGTTAACCTTTAAAGAGCTCGCTCAGTGATTGGCTTACTTTGAGTCATGTGACACTTGCAGCTTTAAGTCTGGGGGCATGTTGTTTACATATAAATTCAAAATCCTTGGTTATGAGTCTAATGGAGTAAACGTGGTGCTGCAGCTCTGCTACAAAGACCGCAGCCTCACGTTTAATGACGCTCTGACAGTTCTGTAATGTGTTTCTTTGGACATCTCCAACGTGAGGCTTGGTCTTGTTTCAGGTGTCCGTGGCTTTCAGAGCGTTTCTCAGTGGCCATCCCCGTCTACAATGGCATCATCTTCCTCTTTGTTTTGGCTAACTTCTGTATGGCCACATTCATGGACCCTGGCATCTTCCCCCGAGGTGAGTGCATGGATGGTTGACCTTTAATGCTGGGTGTCACCAAACAGGTAAGTTGTGTCGAACAGGCAGGACTTGGATAAAGTGATGGATTAAAGCTGCAGACGGCAGCAGCACCTCAGCGAGGCGCGCTGCACAGGAAGCGTGCCGCGGCTCAGTCGTTGGGATGTCTTACGTCCTTCTAATTTGAATTTGTCGAAAACAAAATTACATCTAAAATTCAAAAGGGCCGCCTCCCCATCATCACCACCAGGGTGTAGCTACAACTCCTGAACATAAAAGCCTCATCGTGGTGTGAGGTCTGTTCATACTAGTGAGTTCATACAGTGGAGCTGTGAAGAGTTTAGCAGCAGGCATCATGTTAGCTTGTTCATTTTAATCTCCTAATGTAAAGTAGCTCTGACACGGTTTTAGGTTTGTTATCATTTCGATCATTATGGTAAACATTCAACAACAACAGCTAAAAGATAAAATAATGTAATTATTACATAAACATTATGAGTTTTGGATAACGTGTGTTGTTAGTATAAAAACATTTTAAAACTGGCCTCACAGCTGGCTACAAAAACCGTTCATCTGCATCCGCTCGCCTCGCCCCGTCGTCCACGCTGCTGTGTTCTGGATTTGACTCTTTATTTGGTGGGATTAGCTCTCCACACTGTGTCTCTGCTCGGATCCCCACAGTTCAGAACAGCCGTCCACCCAGTTGTCCGTGCGTTCAGTCACACGCTCTGCTTTTTTATTTAACTACAGTCCTCTGTGCTTTTAGCTAGCTGTCTCTGGCTCAGAGCAGCCTCTTATCAAAATGTGTGTTCCTAGGCAACCAGTGAATTTACATTATATTTTACATTCACTTCTGTGGTCAAAACAACATCACAAACATGTTTTTTATTTCTTTTGATCTGAGTCTGAGGTGAAAAGTGTGACATGAAATATGAGATGATGAGGTTTCAGTTTAGTCACAGGATTGTTAAAACACCACGAGGTCAGAGGGCTTTATCTGAACGGCACTGACACGGAGAGGCGACCTCTGACCCCTTCCACACGACTGGCTTGTTTAAAACTAAAAAACGTTGCTCTGAAAGAGCAAATTGTTTCTACAGACTGAAACCTTCTTTGTAGTCCATCATCTGAACATGGACGCCCACGGTCAGACTCAGGTGGACTGAGCTTTGCGAGCTTTGGCACTTTCACTGCCTCGCCTTTGACCAATAGATCGTCAGTTTCAGGATTGTGTGTGTTCTCTGTGCAGCCGAGGAGGACGAGGACAAAGAAGACGACTTCCGTGCTCCACTGTACAAGACGGTGGAGATCCGAGGGATCCAGGTCAGGATGAAGTGGTGTTCAACCTGCCGCTTCTACAGGCCGCCACGCTGCTCCCACTGTTCTGTCTGCGACAACTGTGTCGAGGTGTGTTTGACTTTTTACATTTAGTCATTTATTCTTCACATGAACAGTCTCTGAATGTTGCACGCTGAGTTAGCCTGCACTGTAAACTTCACTGGCCACACACAGCCCAGTTTGATCTGAAACATTGAATTATTGTGTGCGTCTGTGGTTAGTGAACCAAAACACTCGTGCTCTGTGATTTTCACTTTCAAACCCTCACCCGGCTGGTTTTGGCATGTGGTTATCATCAGTGTTATAAATCTTTAGATGTGTTTAGAAGATGTAACTGAAGGAAATGTCTGTTGCTCTGCAGCTGTCCTGTTAGTGTGTGATGGAAGGAGGAGTGTCAGTGTTGATGGGTGTGAACGAGTTGGACAGCCTGTAGTCATCCTTCGATTAACACAGTGCTCCAGCTCAAGAACAACCTGTAACAGGAGTTTACTGCAGTTTTGGACCTGAAAACGTTTCAGTATCTCCTCCTTACTTACACTCCTTCCACTGAGCACGTGCGTAGCCAAACTGCAGCTGATGCTAAGCCAGTGAAAATGGTCTCGATGGGCCTCTCAGGCT